ACTCTTAGCTGAGAAAAATCTACAGAGGTTGTATTTTCTTTAATTCTGTCTTGTACTCATTTTCCTTTTGCTTTTACCTCTCATTTCCCTTTTGCTTTTACCTCTCATTTCCCAGGGATCATCACATTCTTCTGCCTCTCAACTTATGATTGCTATCAGATATTTAATAGACAGTATTACAAATAAATTATGAGGTAGATGTAGATTTTAGACGCAGTTTCTCAACCAACTTTTTATGCAACATGGAGCACTACTAGGCCCCAAACTGGTTGAACTACAAAAGGTCAATTTAAATATTAATGTTGATTTAATTAAATTGGGATTACATTCTTATCTGAACCTGACTCTACTGCAAAAACTATTAAGCACATTCTAAAAGGAAATTTTAATATGGCTTTTTTTTTTTTCATTTATTTTTCAATGCCTCTCAAAAAAAGACCTTTAAGCAAGGAAGATTTTACTCTGCCTCAGTGTCCAGCAGCCTGAATGAAACTATAGCTGTGTGAATACACCACACCTCTTAAAAAACATCCTTAATATCCATAAAGTGAGCAAACTGCTGCCACCCTAGAGAAGAAAACGTGCCATGTAGGAAGGCATTTTCTATTTTTCTATTGATTACACTGACTTAATAAAACAAATCTGTTCTCCTCCCACCCAACTTCTGCTCTTATCCTCAGTTTCTGAGCACATTCCTCCTCTCTGCGCCTATATTCCTCATTAACATGGCAGTTCTTGACCTAGTTACACAACTCCAACCCGTGCTGCTAGGTTTCTTCCCCCACCCCTATCTTCCCAGATGTCTGCTTGTTAGCTCCTGCTTCTCACTCCTTCTCCCCTTCCCTGAATTTCTTCTGCTTTCTCACATTTGATACTACAACTTCCCTTCTATTTGAGGCTCTTCACTACAGCTCTTGCTGTTGCTCTGCTTTCACACAAAGCCCAAGCAAAATATTTCACATACTTTCAGTAAAATTTCAGTCCTTGCCATCCTCAACAGACCACACTCCCATCAGTTGGGAACATGATATACATATAGTCTCATAAGCTCGTGGTAAGCTGAGAGGTTCAATCTGTTCAGTGTAAATACATTAAGAATTTCACTGGCAAATTTTGAGAAAAGTAATCTGATTTTACAAAGGCTTATGACATAAAATTGTTTTGCAGCAAAGAAAGCAAACCCGATATCCTTGGCCCAAGTGGGCTTCCTTTTAAACCTCATATCCCTAATCCGAAGTAGAGAGACATCAAAACTTCATCCCCCAAAATTAAACAACAAGATTATGAGGATTTTTGCTTAAAAGGGGCAAACCAGTACATTTCCCCTAACACCCTTCTAGTGACTCATTGAGATGTTTCCAGAAAATTCCAACCCAACTACACTTATCATTCTAACATGTATAATCAAAACTAAAGTTATTTCAAGTTTTTTTTAAATCTTGCAAACATTGCAGGAATCTAAATGAGTGATAACCCAAATAAGCAGATGAGGTTTGTATCTGCATGAGCCATGAAACACAAAATGTTTGTGTGTTACTTGACATGCAATAGGCTCTACATGACTTTATTTCCTCCCTTTCGGGAAGTATTATCAAGTCATCTGGCTTCACACTACCCTGTAGTAACTGAAAAGTTAAGCCACTACAGAGCCTGTGATGAGGATTTAGTGAAAGTGTGGTCTGTGTTTTTGAAATTTAATGCAGAAAGTGATTCATGCTCAGAGAAATGACACGAGATACACTGGGGAAGGATGTGAATCAGAACCTGGAAGGCAGCAGAATTAGCCTACTTACTGAAGCAGACTTATTAACTATAAAACTATTTATATAGTTGTAGTTCATAATATAAAACATAAAGTGTGTGCTGTCCCTGCCCATGGCAGGGGGGTTGGAACTAGGTGATCTTAAGGTCCTTTCTAAACCAAAGCATTCTATGATTCTATAATTCTATAGTGCATATTATTAATATATTCTATTTAGTAATATAGTAAACATATGGAACATAGAGCTTATATTTATTAAACATTAAGCTGTATCTTCAAAACTCAAATTGTTCAAGTGATATGACAAAATGAAAAAGCAATCCTGAAACTATCTTTAATTATATATACTTAAGATGAAAAAATCCACTAGCTTTCAAAGCATTAAGGGACTGCCAGCCCAAACTTCACATGCCAAGTCACAAGGCTATGAAGAATTCTCCTGAGTGTGTTTTAAACTGCTGAGCGTGCATGTGAGGGGAGATCAGGTCCTAAAATCACGCACAAGAATAAACCCCTTGTTTCAAGATAGCCAGATCATTTTAGAGCAGCATCGATGAGTTGGGGGGGGGGGGGGG